TGCCCTGTCACATTAACCCTCAGCTGCATTTTTGGTCTCTTCTGATATTACCTAATGTAAATTCAAACTGGTTAAACACAGCAGAGAGGGAGCTGCCTACCCAGAGCAGCAGTACATTGGGGAGTGCAAAGATAAGCTTTAAAGTACCATAAAAGCATTTATAAATTGGGTAATTATTCTTATGCCTAGTTTACAGATGGGGAAAGTAAGGCTCAAAGTCATTAAGTGATTCATCCAAGATAACAAAACAAGCCACTGTTGGAACTAGGATTAAAATCCACTGTGCTTGTTTGCTAGGCCCACGCCCTTCTACACAAACTTGGAAAAGAAAAGGTCATAGAGTTCTTACATGGAGAGAACTATCGCTCTTAGAAAGCCCGCCTAGGTCTGTCTTTCATATGACACTAATGTGATTAGTTTTTCCTGTTGCCAAGAGATATTACTGTCTACATCTCAGTTACAGGTAGGCAGGTGTGCAGCTTGGCAGTGATGTCAAAGATCATTCCAGTCAGAATAGAACAGATATGGTCGCCAGGTCTCTCTGTTCAGGAGATTTGCATAGCAGTTCCCATGGTGCTCTCTGCACATATTTACCAAGCATTATTGCGTAGATTTGGCTTCTAAACAAGAATATGGGTTTGGCTTATCAATAGTATAGAACCTATTTCCAAGCTTGAGGAGTGCTCAAACTCATCTAGCTGTAGCTTTATTTGGTTTGGGATATCTCTTTGTTTAAATTGCCCACCTTTTGCATTGCTGAAGTACCTCAAGGTCTTCTTTTACACTTGTTAGGAGGTATATTTTAGCTGTCTATAAATTGAGTGTGTGTATATTAGATCTTGATATACATAAAAACTAACCACAGTTTATAAAAAACCTTGTTGCTCTTTACAGATTTGAAACACATTAGCTTTATTTTTGTGTGTTCTACAACTATTTCAGTTTCTATTAAAGTATAATTTGCATTATCGCACTTTTTAGCCTCCATGAGTGGGAGTCCATTGGGTTAATTAATTGTAATTTTTATTGTCAGAAGATATACATCTAAGTGGATGGTGGCAGGATGGATGAAAATTTATGATTATAAAAAAATTTAAATTAAAAAAATCTGATTTAAAAAACATTTTTCTTTTTAAAAAAACCTATTTAAAATTAATTGTGAGATTATGACAATCTGTGTTAAAGCACAAACTTAGTATAATCCATTACAATAATTTACATTAAAAATATACAAGCAGAACATTTTCTGCCAAATTGCTAAAGCAAGTCAAACATGGTGGAAGTCGCTCACTAAGCACCTGGAAGCAAAATTTGTTGATGTGCTTAACTAACTTTTGAAAGCAGTAGCAGGTTCAGAGAGAATATTTTCTTAATTTCAGTTTATTTAACGAGTTAAATTCGATTACTAGTTCATTCACAGTTAAGAAACCAACTGGGTGTTGAAAAGCAGGAAAGCTTGTTTTTCTCTTCTAATATATGAATAAAAATGAGGTGTGTGAGGATGAGATCTACCAGTTCTAAAATCTTGAAGGACATGGTGACCAGAAACAATTAGTTCAATTCACTAACCACTTCCTTTATTTAATAAATCATAGAATCATAGGACTGGAAGGAACCTTGAGAGGTCATCTAGTCCAGTCCCCTGCACTCAAGGCATTATTATCTAATATAATAAGCAAGTATTATCTAGACCAGTGCTACTCAAAGTGATGGTCTGCAGACTGGTGCTGGTCCGCAAGCCATCGGCTGCCAGTCTGTGCGCACATTGGGAAAAAAAATTGCTGGTCCCCCACATCAGATAGCTTGAGAAGCACTGATCTAGACCATCCCTGACAGGAGTTTGTCCAACCTGCTCTTAAAAGTCCCCAACCTCCCTGGGCAATTTATTCCAGTGCTTAACCACTCTGACTGGAAGTTTTTCCTAATGTCCAATCTAAAATCAGTTAATTTTTAAATGCAAAACATGTTTTGCAAAACTTACATAAGAAAAAAGTATCCATCATGTTTAAAGTAGTTTTATTTAACAAGTAAAAAGCAATTTTAAATGCTGCTTTGTGCAGTTTTAATTGAATTCCAATTTCCATCCAAATGCAAGATGACACAAATCACAAGTAAAAAATTATCATCTATTAAAAAAGTCAATCACTATCTTCTAACATAATTTTTAAAAAATCAGAATCTGAATAATTGTATGTTAAGCTATATAATTTCTTAAAGTGTATGGATATAGTGTGTCCTCCTGGTTAACAAAAAGGGATACCAATTTTTACCGAACAGTGAGAATCAACTTTTCTTAAGGAAAATAAGAAATACAAATGCAAAACAAGATTAAAATAGATTATTTAAATCAAGGGTGTCTGCTTGCTCATTTAAATCACTTTGATTTAAATCAATCCACCATGGTGGATGGGTGTTTGGTTTGGAGTTCTGTAATATTTTGTACTTTTTTCTTTTCTTTTATTAATTGGCTTTTAGTTTGGGAGATGTGCCTCCATCCTTGAAAGGACTGTCCCTAAAATGAGTCAGGGCAGCCCAAGTCACTACTTGAGAAGTAGAGTGCAAAACTACCCTGTATGGGTTACTAATGCCTTAGAACTTGGAGCTGCAGTAGAAGAATGCTTAGTCTGGTCATGTGCTAGAATGGACCTGAGTGGTTATTCACTTATGTATTTCTTTGGAATTACAGATATGTGCTTATTCTTCTTCTCAAATACCATCAGGACACTTCCCAGTGTCCCTTACATGCATTCTGGAATGCAGAAGTATTTAGTCTTCTCTGCGTATTCCAGGAGACCTGGAATAGGAGTTATCACTAGCTGAAACATTTGATTATGGCCAACTCACTAATCCTTGGATGCATCATGGTACACACTGTACATCATTTGCTCTGGTATACAATATGACTGCTGTCCAGTTTGCTGGTATTTCAGTCAGATTAATCTGGTGTTAAACTGGATTGTTTCAGCTTGATATCTTCTGCAGAATTTCCATCCACAAATTCTTCCACAACTTCCTTAAACTTTTCCTGCTTTATCTGATCCAGATGATGCAGCTGTTCTTGGTCCACATTCCAGCTGCGAGATACATCACTCATGGAATGGGGAGGTGAAATGAAGTGAAAAATAAACTCCGTGCTTAATTGTTGAGTGACTACCCAATATATAACACCCTAAAGACAGCTAAAATACTTATATACTTTAATATTACTTTTCCATGATGTAGGTAATTGCTGTAGTTGGCATAGGAATGTTGCATGGTTATGAATGGGAGGGGAAGGGATCCATGGGAACCCTTGAGATATTAGAGAAGTTTTAGGAGCATCCATGCCTTCCTCTGCTGAAGGAGCTGGAAACTGGTTGCCTCAGTTTCACTATTTCTTGAGAAGATTTTTCTGGAATGTCTTTCAGAACTTCACTCTCCCTTGTTTGTGTATCTTATATAGACAACCTCTTCTCTACAAGATCTTAATTCTTGTGGCTCTCTTCCATTTGACTGATGCTTTGGATGTAGGGAGAGAGACTTGAAACCAAGGTCCTGGTCACTTCTAGTAATTAAAGATCTCCTACAATTTCTTTTAAGAGGAGAGGTGTGAGCCCTGAGGTCCAGGTGAAATTCCAGTTGGGTAATTGCATTTGACCTACAAAAAACTTCCCCTGGTACTCTCAGTTGGATAACATTTTTTTACTTCCTGTTCTAAGCTGTTGTTTAAAGGTGTTGCTATGCACTGTCACCATATTTAATTGTAGAAGTAGATGCATTTCATTAATGGATGAAGGGATTTCTGTGTTGATAGAGAAAAATCCTGCATGTTCCATTCAAGGCACTGAACTACCTCTTTATGAGTAAGGCAAATAGGATTTGGCCCATAAGTTGTAAATCAGTGTGCAAGACTTTTTCTTCTAAGCACAGTTACATATGAATAGCTCAATATAAAATATTCCCTGCAGTAATATAGTGTTAACTGTATTGGGGACATCATTGACTATTGCAGGAAAAATGTAGACCTGTGAACTTAGGTCTTGAGAGTGACAAGATGGATGAGGTAATTATTGTTTATTGGATCACTTTGTGTGGGTGGAAGGGACAATCTCTCACAGGAAGAGGAAGAGCTCTGAGGAAGAGCTCTGTGAAGCTTGAAAGCTTGTCCCTTCCACCAACAGAAGGTGGTCCAATGAAAGATATTACCTCACTCACCTTGTGTCTCTCATATCCTGGGACCAACATGGCTACAAAAACACTGCAAACAGCTTAGGTCTTGATGTATAAATAGTGCAGAAAATCATTTTAAACAGATTTGCTTGTGTGTTCTTGCATGTGATATTTATCTCAGTGTGTATCTTCTGTTAATGATTTCAGATCTTTAAATGAACATTTAACCTTTTCATTAAAGCTTTTAATTCAGTATTAATGGTAGATCAAGTTTTGAACTGTATGTAATATCGTGACATCTCTTTCAGAATCTGGAAAGTTAGACAATTGCTCTTAGTTGTGCCAAATACATTTCTAATTAAGATTTAGTATCTAAACTATGGATTTGTGTTTTGACTGCAGATTTTGCTACTGAAAAGCATCAATAATGGATTTTTCTAATAGCAGTCCAAATTATTCATAATTTGGGTTGATTTTGTAGCTAAACAATATGTTCAGTCTGTTCCTCTGCTGATTTTGCCTTATTGCTGTTATTGTGTTTAAGATTGTCATAGGGGTCATAATGTGTTGTCAAAAAGCAGATGAGAAGTTTTCAGGTGAGCCAAATTCTGAACAATCAAGCACTGTTAGGTTGAGACATCAACAATAGGAATGTGCAATCAGAAATGGAAGACGGTGAAACCGAAGCTTCTCTGAGACAAACGATATAAAGAAGGAAAAGAAGAAATATTTTGGAAGAGTTTTCATCCTCCATGCTGTAATTGTAGTATTTTGAAATGTAGGGTTAATGTATCATTCTCTCTGTAGTGGGCATTCCAGTGATCACTTTTTTTTTTTTTTTTTAATTTCAGCCAGTTGGAGCTAGCGACTATTTGGAAATATCTAAGAATTTTGACACAGTCTTTGTTCGTAACATACCACTATTTACCATAGCAAAAAGGACCCAAGCTCGCCGCTTCATTACTCTTATTGATACATTTTATGATCATAAGGTGAGAACTAAGTGTTTCAGTTACACATGTATTATAATGTTGTTTGGCCATTTTATAAATTAATCCTGTCTTCCATCAGGTAACAAGTAAGACCATCTTATTTTAGATAACATTGTCAGCTATAGTAGAATCTCACATTTAGTTCAGTCACATACATAATTTGCACACACAAAAATGGCAGTTTCTCTGCATTTTTTGGCAAAGACTTGACAACAGAGGTAGTATATTACTGAGATGACTACTTCTATAAAATTTGCCATGATCATGTCCAGCCAAGACTCATTGGGTGCCTTTACAATCATTCAAATACACAATAAATGTTGCAACATCCATTTTAAAAAATCAAGTCAAATAGACTGCTATCACCTCTGTTATCACTTTTAGTGCACAATTGTTTGCTCACCAATCCAGGACAGAGCTCCATGGGGGCTGACCCCAGAGCCCGCACAGAACCCCATTGAAGCCATTGGGGCTCCATGCTGGTGGAAGGGTCTGCTCACAGGCAGCTAAGTGGAGGATCAGGGCCTTATTTTTTCACAAGTTTCAAGTAATTGGCCAGGTGTCTCCCAGGCATTAGCGTGAACTAGCAAGGTCCTGCTATATTTTAATTTCTTCCTTTACCCTTAGTAAGAGTGGCTTGGGTACTGAGAGAGGAAAGAGGTCACTTACATTTTTCATATTTAAATAGAAAGTAATGACCATGTCCAGAAAATTGTCTTTGATCATTTAATAATGTTGAATATTCTTCTTTGAAGACCTACTCCTATAAGACTCTCACTCTTGAGTTTGCAAAAAGAAAAGGAGTACTTGTGGCACCTTAGAGACTGCCACAAGTACTCCTTTTCTTTTTGCGAATACAGACTAACACGGCTGTTACTCTGACTCTTGAGTTTGTGCTCCTTAGTACAATGTCACAAAACTTCCAGCTTAATTCCAGGATTGAAAATCCTATGTGATGTCTTCAGAGAAGCAGAATTACAGGGAATTAATTTTCCTTTATTTTTATTTTTCAAAAACATAACTTACTTTGGCTTTTTCCATATCTGAAATGTACATATTTTCCCTTATTAAAGGTACCTTCGCTTAGGAGTAAAATCTGGCCATTTCTAGACATTTGTAATCTATGAAGTGTTTTTTTTTTAAAGTGAGAAATTATTGTTAACACTTTGAAAATTTGTGAGCTTAGCGTAATACGATGATGTTTTAAAACAAACACTGATTTCAATGGGACTTAAGCATGTGCTTAAATTTAGGTAGGTCCTTATTTGTCCTTCCTGAATAGGGATGTTTTACTGAATCAAGAAATAAACAATTAAATGGGTGGTGTCATTCTAGAACTAAAGAATGTGCCACTGAGTATTCTGGAGCTAAGATCAGGCTAGATGATTTTAATTTGGAAGGGACAATTGGCATGTTAGCACAGCCAGTCGGGACTAATAATGAAGAGAATATTAAAGTGTTAATATATTTGTTAAAATGTGATCTTAATTTTAGAAGAAACATTGATTGTAGATTTTAAATCAGGTTGCAGAACTGCTAATGGAACAGTAATGATAAATGCACCACTTAACTTGGATTTACAAAGGTTTCAATCATGGGGAAGCAAAATCAGCACTATTAAAATAACAAAAAAGGCATTTCATATTTAAGCTGATCATTTTAAAAGAGTAATGAAAATATTAAGTTCCATCCTGTGTGTGATTATATATGTACACACTTAAATATGTATGCAATCAGGAAATATCAATTGAGATATCAGTCTTTTACAAGATGATCATAAAGACCCCGATTCACCAAGAAACTTAAGTACCTGCCTAACTTTAAGCATGTGAAGTTTAGTCTTATTGAAGTCAGTTAGGAACCTGCTTAAATACCATGCTGAACTGGGACAAAATACAGTGTCTTAGAAAATATGTATGCATAGGCATGGAGTAACAAAATCAGAGATACTTATTTTTGCAATCTGTTACCTCTTTGTATCATCTCTAAGAAGCACATCAGGTGATCATGAAATATGACCTCCTCCAAAGTACATATGAGCATTAAGCAACATTATCCCTATTTACCCTATAACTAATCCTGTGGAAAAATCATCTAAAAAATCACAGTTAAAACTTAATACATACTAATCTATATTTTTTCCATCATTGTGAAACTAAATATTTGTGGAGACTGATCTGCAATGGAAATCTTTTGTCTGGGATCTATCCATATTCTGTACACTGTCCACAATGCTATTACAGTATGTTTATATCATAAACCTCATAGGGATATCGGTACTTCACTGTATACAGTAGCTCTTCAAATCCAATCTGAAAATAGTTATTCCAGCCTTAATAGTATTATTAAAAAGTAGTAATGATAAAACTCAAGCTAAATTTTTAACTCACTTGAATTTTGAGAGTCCAAAATGAAGTGGCCAAACTGAACTTTTAGAAAGACTTCATATTCCTTAAACATTCAGCTGATTGGAATGTCTGTGCAGTTCATTTATCCTCTCAGTGCAACCCTAACTAGTGAGAATCCATAATTTCCCGGTGGTTTTCATATTGCTTTTTTAAAAAGGTAGATTACAGCGGTAAATATTATGTCATATAACAAATATTCTGAGGTGACACAGTTAGGTGGATCCATTCCTGCTGAATGACTCACTGAGGGGAGAAAGCACTTGCCACCCTGGCATGTGCATAAAAAGTCTTCAAGCTGTTATTCAGAAAAAGACCTGGTTAATTAGAGTTAATATCACTATCTATTTCCTTGTCTCTCACAAGTGACTAAATAATAAATCCAGGTAGCTGCAGTGCTAGTGGGTGGGTGAAAGTTAAGATACTTGGAAAAACGAAGTGAAGTCCTGGAAAGCTTTTCCCATACGAGATGTGTGTGTAGAACACAAGTGATGGCGCCAATGCACATTTCTCCCTGTTTCAGATACGCATTATTTGTTCTGCACTGACACCTCTCCAAAGCTTGTTTCCGCTAGAGCATCATGACAGTGGCCTGGAGGAAAGCAGAATACTGATGGATGATTTGGGGTTGAGCCAGGTGAGTGATATCAACATCATCTCCTTTTGTTACAAAAGAGCATAATTGTCTTTGGTCTGATATCAGGGCACCAGTGCAGGAGAAAGAATGAGGTAAACATTTACCAGGTGGCTTGCTGCTGTGTAGTAGAATCCATGCACCACAGTTGTTACTTTTCTAATTACATATTTTACTGTATCTGTATGGTCAAGGAAAAGATCAATAGATTTGGATCCATTTTGCATAAATCTAGGGATCATTTTATATCTTAATATTCTATGTATTTGCTCAACAATTATGAAAATACTGACAGACCCAAGCTTCACCCTGATGTAATTTCAGTGAGTTCAGTGGAGTTGCACCAGGCATCAGTTTAGCTCACTATGTTTAACAACTGGAAATGACAAATAAATTGTCAGTTGTATCTCTTTGTAGAGATGCAGAGCTACCTTACAAGTCTGTCCACTGGCTACTGGTCTGAGTGGCTCCTAATAAGTTTGTGTTTGTTACAAGGGAATCTACCTAGTTGATTTATTACAATTGCTAATAGCTTTTAAAATAATTTTTAACTAGATCGCTCCATATAGGGCATTTTTCTGCAATTTTTTTGGATGACTCAAATGAATTAAACCTCTGGCAATGTGCATTACGGTGTACACAAAGCAAGCAATACTGGCCCCCAAAAGTATTGCCTGTCTTCTGATTGCTTAAATTCATCTAAGGTTTGGGATTACTTAACATTTGTTATAATTATTTAATTTTAAGGAAAGAATAAAACCATATTTTACCAGTGATGGTAATCAGCCATTAAACTGTAGCAATTGTATGTTAAAACAATCAAGAAAATGTAGCTCTGTACTGAGTCAGTCAACAAAAAAGTGGAAGTAGGCGCCAACATCATCATTTTCCTTTTAGCCCACATATATTGCTTTGTCATATTTCTACAGAGAATTGAGTGGCTGAAACAGGGATTTCCTTTAACATTACTTCGAGGGTTTTTACATTTTATTTCCTTTTTGGTACCCTATACTGTCCACTGTCTTGTATTATTTAGCTCTCTAAAGAATTTAGAGGTATAGTTTGGATGGGATGCTGATCAAAATAGATCCGTGCCTCACAGTTCTGTGTCGTTTTTTATATATCAATCTAGGATTCAGCTGGAGGACTTTCCATGTTTACAGGAGAGGAGGAAATCTTTGCATTTCAACGAACTATCTCACGACTTACAGAAATGCAGACTGAACAATATTGGAAAGATGGGGACAGAAGCAAGAAATAGTTGTAGCTCAAAGATGAACAAAACCTCTGAGAACACAAAAATAGTATATAAAGAAAAAAGATTCTAATAGAATTGGAAGCATTTTTAATATAAATGAATTGATTATTATTGCACTTATCCTCTGGACCATAACTTTTCATCTGCAATGTTGCCATTTCAAATTTAAGAGCTTCGTAAATTGTGGTTTTTGTTTTGGTTTAGGTTTCTTTGACACCCGCAGCTTGTGGATCTGTTATTATGCCTTTTATATTTCAGTTTTTTTGTCCGGTACAGCATGACTTCAGTATTCAACATGGTTAACTGGTTAACTTCTTAGTCTGCTGCTCAAGTCAACCATATAGGCAGGGGTCACAGTAAATCAGGGATGCACATCTTAGTGGTTTATGCACTATTTTTGTCATATTTATGAGAGCTTGCACAAAAAGAAAGATCAAAGCCACACAAATCCAATTTACTTGTATTTTTTACTCTGCTCCCTCTAGAGTCAGTCTGTAAGATTCTAGAACTCCTGTGTCCTATCTTTTTATTTTCGTAACTCTGACTTGTAGCCATCTGCTGAACTTCAAATTTCCTCTCTTCTACTGCAAGGATATGCTTCACTCTCTGATAGTTTCCTGAGGTACATATTGTTTGCTGTCAATCTAATGAGGCTGCTGCTCCATCTTACTGCCTGAAAGCCAAGGGCCTGATCCTGGGGACGGGATGAGCCCTAGCCGGAGGTGAGGGTACTTGTCACCTTAGAGGTCCAAGTTAAAAATGGTGACTAAATAAAAAAAAAATAAATAAACTATGCAAGGGAGAGAGTAAATTTACTCTCTCCCTTGCATAGTTTATGTAATAGAAAAGTGGAAATTAATACTTTTTCAAGACTTTCCATCAAAGCACAAGAAAGAAGAGTCCATCTCTACTGCCAGCTGGGTGTTCCTGCCAGAAGATGGGGGATGGGACTTCATGGTACTTGGTACTTTCTATCCTAAAAGTTCTAAGGCCTGGGCTACACTACATTTTCTCCTATGTTTCTATAAACAGCCGTGTACTGGCCAGTGTCGACTTGGGCGTGACTTGATCACACTTTATAGTACAATTGAGTCAAGAGACAAGATTACAACTAGAGCCCTGCAAATCCGCGGGTATCCACTTTATATCCGTGGACCATTTCTGCGGATAGCAGTGTAGATGTGGATACAAATTTTGTATCCACGCAGGGCTCTGATGTTAATAGCTGGGCGGGCAGCTGTGAGGAACCACAGCACGGATCCTCCACCTGCCCTGGGTGAGGAGCCTGGGGGTCAGGGACAATGGGCAGTGGGATGCTCAGGCCCCATGCCCAGGGCAGGTGGAGGGTCCGCCACAGCTCCCCACAGCTGCCAGCTCGCTCTCCCTGACCCAGTTCTGGCTGGGGAGGCGGGCGGCTCGGAGCCACAACCCAGCCACGGTAAGAGTCAGGTGGGGGAAGTGGTGGGGAGCCATGGCGGACCCTCTACCTGCCCTGGGCGAGGCGTCCAAGCAGCCCCCAGGCAGCTCCACAGGTCTCCCCTCTCCGCTGGACCAGCCACAGCAGACTCTCCCTCTGCTCCCAGTGCGGGGGGGAGGCCGAAAGCAGGCCGTGGCCCCACCCCCCAGGCTCCCTGCCTGGCTGAGGGCAGTTGCGGGAGGGTCTGCGACTCCCCGCGGGCTCCCCACAGCTGCCCATGGCTCTCCCCGACCGGGCTCCGGTGGGCGGGATGCCTCCAAGCCTCAGCCCAGCCCCCAGGGTAGAGCCCTGCAAATCCGCCCGCGGATATCTGCAGATAATTTTTGCGGATAGCAGATCGGATGCAGATACACATTTGTGTATCTGCGCAGGGCTCTAATTCCAACATGGTTACATTTTACAGTGGAGATGAAACCTTAACTGTGGTGTGTAACCATGTCCCCTCTACTTGTAGCATGAACTTGCCTTTCGTTAAAATTGCCTTGGATATTTTTTAAGCCTAGTTTTAATAAAGCTATGTACTGTCCTTTCTGACGAGTACATTATTTCTATTAGAAACCATTTGTAACAGCATGTTTCAAAACAGTTTCACTGGATAGGGCAAATGGTTGCAGACAGGGCATAAAAGGATTGTCTTTATCGTGTAAAGACACATTTTGTTTGAATTTCTATCTCACCGTTGGTTCTTCTGAGAAGAATCCATGTACCGCGTATGGCTCAGTATTATTGTTTTTCTCTCCCCATCGATTAGCAACCTGATCAAACTGCTGCTATAACAGCCACTACCATGAAACTGTCTAAAAGGAACTAGTCCTTTGGGCTTCATGGCCGTATACTTTTTTAGGTGGTGGAGCCATATACTTGATGTATTACTCCAGCGTGACCTGGTTTTCTTTGGAGCTATATGCTGGGTGTATTAATCCTACAAGGTTTGCCACTCTGATCATCTCTTTGCACTGGAAGACACCCACGTTTGCTACACCTGTACTTCAAATCACTTTCAAAGTCTGTACATACATGTATACTTCTATAAATACAAGATTTTTCATTCACACAAAGGGGTGATAAAAGAGAATTGTAAAGTATTTATGAAAAAAAACCATTCATAGTAAATGAGATGTTTGAATTTGAACGGGAAAAGCGGTAGTATCATCGGAATAACAATAGAGATGCTATAAACAGGACTGCAAAAGCATTTTTCATTTCATGTCGTTTTTCAGATGCATTTTTGCACTTGGGTGAAGCATCTGCGTGGTTTTTAAAACTTGTTATAAACGCAGCCCCTGTGCTCTCCCACTTTGTGTGGCGGGGACTAGGAGGGCCAAAAACTTAGCGAAAAGGGTTGGGGGACTCATATGGAGAGAGGATGCTGCTCTGCTGGTTTCCCCTGCTACTAAATAGCTTGTATCTGAGCTAAAAAATGGAACTGTCTTTCAGTGATCTGGTGTAATCGGAGACTGAACTGGTTTAATCACACGCAGTTCAGTTTGCCCCCAGAGCCATTCTTACTCATGTTAGCTGTCACAGTTTTGCTCTGCACCTCACTAGTGCTGTTCTACACTTTTTCCCAACGTATTGCATTCTGGGTACCGATCCCAAAATCCCTGGCATTGCCCCCAAAAGAAGCTGGCTCTGGGAAATTTTGAAAAGGCCTTCTGGGATATGTTGGTGAGCCCTGGAGAATTATGGGAGAAGAGATCCAATTCCCATAAATCCTCTGGAGCCAGTGTCACTTCCAAGACCTTTTCACAAAATAGCGGTCAGGATCAGTGGTCAGCTTGCATTCCATGCTCAGCAAGAAAATGTTCTGCTGGAGCTTTTGGAAGGCATCTGCAGTTGTCATGGAAAGGCCGTGGAGGGCATTCCAGAAGTACTTAGAGTCCTAGTAGTGTCTAAGGCAGAGGTGGGCAAACTACGGCCCGCGGGACCCTCCTATTCGGCCCCTGAGCTCCTTGCCCGGGAGGCTCGCCCCCCGGCCCCTCCCCTACTGTGCCCCCTCCCCAAAGCCTCAGCCCGCCACGCCGCTGGCACAACGCTCTGGGCGGCCGGGCAGCGCAGTTGCAGAGCCGCGGCCTGACCCAGTGCTCTAGGCAGCGCGGTAAGGGGGCAGGGAGCGGGGGGGTTGGACAGAGAGCAGGGGAGTTGGGGGTGGTGGTCGGGGTGGGGGTATGGATAGGGGTCGGGGTGGTCAGAGGGTGGGGAACAGGGGGGTTGGATAGGGCAGGGGTCCCGGGGGGGCTGTCAGGAATGAGAGGGGGGGTTGGATGGGGCGGCAGGGGGCAGTCAGGGGTGGGGGGGTCCAGGGGACAGGGAGTGGTGGATGGTGTAGGAGTCCCGGGGGGGCCGTCAGGGGACGGGGGGGTTGGATAGGGCACGAGTCCCAAGAGAGCCGTCAGGGGGGCGAGAAGCAGGGGGAGTCGGATAGGAGGCGGGGGCCAAGACACAGCCTCCCTAACCAGCCCTCTGTACAATTTTGGAAACCTGATGTGGCCCTCAGGCCAAAAAGTTTGCCCACCCCTGGTCTAAGGCCAGATGGGACTGCTAGGTCATCTAGTCTGACCTCCTGTATATCACAGGCCACCAACACCATCCAGCACCCACACACTAAACCCAACAACCAAAATTAGACCAACGTATTATAGCCCACAGGAAACTATTACATGCCACTGGCAGAGAACAGGAGGGATGGAGGTGCACCAGAGCTCGAGGCCACACAACAGCAGCAAATTGATTAAGAGAAATGCACCCAGATAATCCCAGCAAATGACCCACCCCACACTCTGCAGCAACAGGCAAACCACAAAAAAAACTCATCAGGGTCACTTGTGGAGAGTGTGAGACAAAGAGGAGCCGCTCACAGCTCTGTGTTGTACTTGTGGACAAATTACACATGGTGGACTGGCTATGGCCCCTTCTGGATCTGGACAATAGCCAAAGACTGAAGGGACCAAGTAGTTTCAACACGTGGGGTGCCTGGCAGGGGTAAGTGCAGTGACTACACACATAAATTACCTGATTTCTTTAAAACTGAGGCCCAACACATTTATTTACAATACTTCTCTTCCCCTCAAAGGGCTCTGACTGCGCTAACCTTCCTTCCGGCTGAGGACTGGCTGGGCACCTCTAAAGCCAGAAAGCACTGGCCAGAGAGTGTTACTCGAGAATGATTAAATTATTCCACGTGTCCCCCACCCTCCAAAAGCAGGACATATTATCTCCACAGTGCGTCCAGCCCACGGCATTTCTAAGGCATTTGAACTCCAGTCCCTGTGGTGCATTGTGACTAGATTGCAGGTCCAGCCAATCAATGCTGATTTACATTTTTATTTCTACATTTAAATATTTTACTTCTAAAAGACAGGAAAATGCCAGCCATGTAATGACAAGCAGAAAAATACCTGTAGTTAAATTATGCACACTCTTCAGTGGCCTTAAAACTATGTGCATATACGGTGTATTTCTGACAGTCACTAAATGAAATACGAGTGACGTTTTTTTCCCATGCAGTCCAGACATAAACTAGATGTGCACATTGTTTGCGTAATGACTAGTAAGTAAGTAAAAACATTGCTATGAAGTTATTTTAAGATGTCTTCTAGGAATAATCTGATAGCTCTTGTATATTTGTTAACATAATAGGCTTAAGTAAAATCTTTACAATGGAGTTTGATATGTACAGTTTTTTCCTATATTCCATTATAAATCTATAATAACCTTAGTGAAATAGGTGTCAGATAATTTAATTGTTACAAGCACTTAGTTGAAACAAGGATTTCTAATGCCCCAAGTATTAAAGTAGAACTTTCTTCAATTAGGTTCCAAATAAGCATAGAAACTTTAGTTATAAATGTGTAATCACTTCATTTAGGTCCATCAATGGCTATGTAGATCCATCAGTGGATATTAGCCACGATGGGCAGGGATGGCATCCCAAGCCTGTTTGCCAGAAGCTGGGAATGGGTGACAGGGGATGGATCACTTGATGATTATCTGTTCTGTTCATTCCCTCTCGGGCATCTGGCATTGGCCACTGTCAGAAGACAGGATACTGGTCTAGACGGACCTTTGGTCTGACCCAGTATGGCCGTTCTTATCCTTTATGTGCACTGGAACTTTGAAACCTTTTTTTCCTCTTTCTGTACTAACAGTTTTCATTTCTAGCTTCATATAAATAAAGGGATCAGTTAGGTATTTTTGGTATAATGAGATGGGCTTCTAAAGCTCTATGCGGAAAGTGAAGAAGGCTTTTAAAAAAAATTCCTTTCTGTAAAAAGGAGAATCACTTGTTAAAGCCAGAAGTGGCTTTTTGAATGCGTTTGACCATAGTGAAA